TTCTCTTTAGCAGTTATCTATTCTTTATCAAATTCCATTCCCTGAATAATTTGATCTGATTCATCTAGTACTGAATCTGACGCTTCTTTCCTTGTATCCCGAGGTAACCCTGTCAATTGTTCTGACCATTGATCTTGTAGTCCCTCATAAGATTGCTCCATTATGATGATGGTAAAGTAATATGAATGAATGATCTTGGTTTTACTGTTACAAAACCTTTCATGAATTATTTACATGTTTTTATAATTAATGTATTTAACAATACTTTAAATAATAAAAAAATGTAATGTAAATGCGAAAATGCATAAATTCCAAAAATAAAAATGCAAAATGTGCAATTCAAAGATATAAAAAGTAAGAATACAAAATGAAAATACACAGATACAAAATGTAAATGCATGTATGAAAAGGTGTTACTCAAGAGTGATCATCTTAGAACAGATTTCATTGAACACAAAAGCTTCGGTACATCAAACAAAACTTTTACATGTAGGGGATAGCTGTCACTCCTAACTTCTATATTTCCCTTAAAAGCCAAACTAACTTCCACTCATGCTCAGGTGTGAAGTTCTCAATATGCTTTAATTCTCTTGCGAAGCCAGCTATGTCCACCAGCTTATGAGCCACATTGTTTGCTTGAACAGCAGCTTCCTTCATGATAGTGTCTTTTTTCTTCATATTCTGTGTCAATTCCCGGAGCTGTAGGCACTGTTGCTCATTTTCCCTTGTAAGGGAATCTTTATGGTTACAGAGTTCTCGTACAAGATCTCCATAATCATCTACACATTTCTTCAATGTCTTGTTCTTGTCAATAGTGGCTTTTAATTCAGTATCAATATCATGCTGATGGATCTGATATGATGCTTCCATGTTGGTCATAGCACTATTCAACATTTGATTTTCGACTTGACATCTTTTCAATTCACTGATAGATGCATTGTATCTTTCTTCTGCAACTCGTGAATTATGATAAAACTTCTTGGCTCGACCTTAATATATGTTACAGTTCTTCTTCAGTTTGGTGGCCCCAGTTATCCACTCTTCTGGGGTGTTCCCTATACCAGCATTTTGAAAGGCTTGACTGACCTTCTGGAAATCTTCTTGTATGATTTCCATTTCAGTGCTCAATTTATCATTTTGATCATTCAAATGACATATTTGGGCTTCGAATATCAGCAAATCTTCTTCCTTCTGGACGTCCTTACTGATGTTATTACCTTTGAATACATTTGGTGTTGATATGGCAGGATCTTCAATTACCAAACTAGGTTGATCATTTATTATAAACTGCAAGATTCCCTGATCCAAAAGACTTTGGACTCGACGTTTGAAGGCAAGACAATTTTCAATGGTATGTCCTTGAGCTCCGGCATGATATTTACAATAAACGTTGATGTTATACCAATTCGGATACGGAGGTTGGAACAGTTTTATATAATATGGATCCACTTCTCGTGCTTCAAGTATCTTCTCATACAACTCTATATATGATATGGGGATATTATCAAGATGAGAACCACCTTTTGTCTTGGATTAAACCTGAGTCTTAGACGTCGGGAGCAGACCAAACTTTGATGATTTCTGATTACATGATTTCTTCTCATCTCTGGGAGCTTTTACAGTGGTCACCATTTCTTTGGTATCTCCAGACGATTTGTGAATACAAATGATAATTGTCTGCAACTTTTCAAATTGGTTAGGATCAGAAGTCCCTTGTATATCTGAAATTGCAGGATTATGTTCATTGATCTCTATATCTTTTTGTGCATGAATCTCTTTTCCTTTGGTCAAAACAGATATTCTATCCATCATCTTGGATATCTGCTCTCTTATTTCTCGTATCTCCTTTTGCTCTTCAATGGGCATACGATCTTTGGGTGCATAGCTCTCATCTATCTTCAGAGTTCCCTCAGGAGGTCTTTTCTTGGCCGCATCATATTTTGTTTGATCATAAAACTTTTTGTCCATTTATGATTTCTTTCCAATATGATGAACAGTCTTTCAAGTAAACACCTTTTGGTTATGCCATGATCATGCAATGTAAACAAAAGAAATCAATATAAACATATTAGAGCAATGTAACATGTATGAAGAAAAAAAATAAGAAAAAAAATAGAATAGTTAGTACCAACTAATGGAAAGAAAAATTTATATCTATCAAGGTATAAATCCTAACCTCATGCTTTCTAGTTTCATGCTTTGTTTGGAAAATTTAACCTAACCGCATGATTACTAATTCGCGTGCATTTATTCAGAGAGAAAAATAATAATAAATTCAAAGCTAAAACTTATTTCTCCTTTGTGTACACCTATGGAAATGGTTTCAGTATTGTCTTAGATTAGGAGAATTTCTAGGGTTTATTATATGCAGGTTTTTAGTTCTAGGAGTAAAGGTACTCGAACTGTCTTTGTTGATGCCCCCTTGGGTTGTTAACCCTCAATCCTAGTCCATCACAGACTAAAGTGGATCGAGTTCAATTCGAGGGGATACACTTCTCTATGCCTGACACGGAGAATAAATTCTCACGAAGACATAGAGCATATGAACCCCGAAAGTTACTTGCTAGGTCTAACACGGAGAATAAATTCTCACGAAGACGTCGCTTTCACTCCCACTTAAAAGGGACAAACTCAATTATAGAGCTTTATGTTATGCAATGCAAGTGTTGTGTGTGAGGAGAAATGTTCAAACCTCTAACAGACAAATAAAATAATTAATACCTTCATAAAATAAATAAAAAAATATTAATAAAATAATATAAAAATAATAAGTAATAAAAAATTTAAAAGAAAAGAATTAAAAATTAAATAAATGATTTTTTAATTTCTAATTAATAGAGACAATTTATAATAGATTATTCGCAGGCATTTATTCAGAGAGAAAAAAATAATAAATTAAAAGCTAAAACTTATTTCTCCTTTGTGTACACCTATGGAAATGGTTTCAGTATTGTCTTAGATTAGGAGAATTTCTAGGGTTTATTATATGCAGGTTTTTAGTTCTAGGAGTAAAGGTACTCGAACTGTCTTTGTTGATGCCCCCTTGGGTTGTTAACCCTCAATCCTAGTCCATCACAGACTAAAGTGGATCGAGTTCAATTCGAGGGGATACACTTCTCTATGCCTGACACGGAGAATAAATTCTCACGAAAACATAGAGCATATGAACCCCGAAAGTTACTTGCTAGGTCTGACACGGAGAATAAATTCTCACGAAGACGTCGCTTTCACTCCCACTTAAAAGGGACAAACTCAATTATAGAGCTTTATGTTATGCAATGCAAGTGTTGTGTGTGAGGAGAAATGTTCAAACCTCTGACAGACAAATAAAATAATTAATACCTTCATAAAATAAATAAAAAAATATTAATAAAATAATAAGTAATAAAAAATTTAAAAGAAAAGAATTAAAAATTAAAGAAATGATTTTTTAATTTCTAATTAATAGAGACAATTTATAATAGATTTTAAAGTTTGACGGTCCCCAGCAGAGTCGCCAAGCTGTCGTAACCGGTTTTCGTCCGGGCACGAATTTTTTACTTGGCGGGAAAAGTGATGTGAATAAATGGTTTTTTTTAAATAATTTGGGAGTCGCCATCGACCTTTTAGGTCAGGTAGGTCGAATACCTAAAAATTATCTTTTAAAAGAGTTTTTAAGAAAACATCATTTAAAAGATGAACTGATCTGCGTTTATAACCGAAAATTCGTTCTTTTTATTAATAAAAATAGATTCGTGGTCGGTTACATTTAGGGAAGGATTAGCACCCCTACAACGCCCAAAATTGGTACTTTTTAATTATAAATTTTCTCTCATAATAGAATTTTAAGAACTCAAATATATTTAATTTATAATTATGTTATTTCAAATTTTATTACTATAATTATTAAGAAAATATATTAATTTAAATATATTTATAAAAATATTTATTTATTTAGAAATATCAGAAAATGACTTCTAGGTGCCTTAAGACAGCTCTTTTCTTTGATATTAATAAATAAATATTTAAAAACAATTATAATTTATAAAATAGGATATTTAGTAAAAATATCAAAAAACGGACTTCTAGGTGCTTTAAGACAGTCCTTTTCTTAATATTGAAAAAATAATATATTAAAATATGATTATTAAAAGTAATTTATGAAATATAGGATTTTAACAAATAAACAAATATTATTTATTATATATATATATATATATATATATATATATATATATATATATAATAAAATAAAATAATTAAATAATAATTAAATAATAATAATAATAAAATAATATTGCAAATAATGATTAAAATAAAAGGAAATAAAAATATATTATTAAAATGTAAAATATTAAAAATCATAGTCAAAAATAAAAATTAATGATTAAAATGTAAAATTATAAAACTAGAGTCCTAATTCGAAATATTATAAAACTTGAGTGCTAACAGTGTGATTTAACCTATATTAATTATTAGGGATTAAAATATTAAATATAAAAATATGAGGGACTAAATATGATATTTATCCTAAATATATAAATACTGGTATGGACTAAAACATAATAAAATAAAGTTCGAAGACTAAATTAAAATGATCAAGAATTGCTTTTTAGTGACTAAATTGTAAGGATTACAAACTATAGTGACTGAGGACATGGTTTACCCCTGATGAAAATTACACGCACACCCCTCCCCAAAACGACGTCGTTTGGGGAGAGGTTTAAATACCCCAAATGGCCGGCCCTTCGGGCCATTTATTTCATTTCCTCTCTTTTCATTCTCTCTCTAACTGAGAGAGAATGAAAAATGCTCTGTCATCTCTCTTCAACTCCCTCATATGAGGGAAAAGAATTCCGGCCGTCCGCCTTACTCTGACGCCGATAGCCACCGCCGGCCACCGTTCAAGGTGGCCGGAATTTGGAAAATTATCCCAAACCGTAGATCTCTATATCCTAAGGTCAAATATGACCTCTATTTATCCTAAAAACCCTTAGAATTTCCTAGATCTAGGATTTTACCTTCGAAATCCGAAGGTTTCCGGCGATGTTTCAAATGCCTCCGATGACAAAGTAAGCTCTCTTTTCTCTTCTCTTTTTTTATTGGTTTGCTGTTGATTGGGATCATTGGTAGCTTTCTGTCTTCCTTCGTTTTTCTTCTTTCATCTTTGTTCTCTGTTGTTGTCTCCTTGCTCTCAGTGGCTGTATGTCCTCTTTATTTTGCAGGTAACGGTGGCTTTTATAGCCACCACAGCGTTCTGTTTGGACCGGTCCTGAGAGGGAAACCTCGGTGAGTCACCAAAGCTAGGCTGGTGACTCACCGTATGGAAGGCTGTTGGTTGCCATCTGGCGTTCTGGAGTGTTCCATGAGGCGGCGGCGTGGCAGCAAGGCGTCGGCAGCAGCTGGTTGGACCATCTGGCTTGGGAAGTATCGGTAGAGGCGGCTGTTGGGAGTTCTTAGAGACATGAGGCGGCGGCGTGCGACAGCAGTGCTAGGGTTTAGAAACCCTAGCTAAAACCCTAAATATTTAGGGTTTCATTTTAGTCTGGGCCGGTTCTGGTTGGGCCTGGGATTTGGGCTTGTAAACGGGATTGGGCCTCTGATGTAATTTGTAATATATATATATATATATATATATATATATATATATATATTTAATAATAATAATAATATATTATTAATAATAATTATAATTATTATTATGAAAAAAAATTAATGTCTACAAGTATCGATACCATAAGGCACAAATTTATATAATTGTTCAAAGAGTATCGATACCAAACGAGCAATATTGATACTGAGTGTACCGATATCATCTAGCAAGTATCAATACCATTTTGAAATATGGATGGCAGAATCGAAATGGGGTATCGATAACGTGGAAGGGTATCGATACTACAAGTATAGGGGTATCGGTACTGTGCTTGTAGTACCGATACTACTTGATCTGGAAATTAGATTTTAGTGCTTTGATTAGATTGAAATATTAAGGACCTTTGCAAATAATTCGAATTCCAATATTTATTGGATTGTATATGTGTGTAGATAACGATCAAGAGCAAAGTTCGGAGAAGTTGACCAAGCAGTAGGCATCGAGAAGGAGATTGATATTGACTAGTGAGGCCAAGTGAGTGCTTAATATTAGGTATATGAAGTTTTATGGAAATAAGACTTGCGATGAGCCTATTTCCATGTTAAAGTGTATGAATTCATGAATACAAACATGTGTTTGTTATGATTAGTATGTATACATGAGTATATGTGCTGACATGTTATTGTATGAGTTGTGTGATCGATGTGCTGCATGAGATATGTGATTATAAGAGAACAAAATATAAACTATATGATAATGAATTATGAGACTATGTGAATACATGTTTATGAGACAAATTATGTAATAATATGAGAATATGATAAAAGTGAGTTCATGATAAATGATATGAGCTAGGTAAGCATGTATAAAGGTTATATAAATAATACGAACATGAGTTAGGCAAGTACATGGTTGTGTGATCATTTATGTAAACTAGTATAATAGAATTATATGATTAAATGAGAAGTGAGATAAGCTAAATAAGAGTGACCTATATGATAATATGAGAATAATATATCAGTTAGGATAATTGAACATAAGTGATGATACGAACATATAAGATAAACTATATTGGGAAAATTCATGTGATTAATAAAATTGTGACATATGGGTTATATTATATATATATATATAGATAGAGAGAGGCATATAAGAAGGTTATAGGAACTATATGGAATTGAATTAAATAAATAGATTAAATTAGTCTATAAATGAAATAATATAAGTGATATATGTGCATAAGTTACGTGATTTATGTGAATATAAGAGAGTGAAGCATAAATTATAGGATATGATATAAGTTATTATATACATATATGATATATGTTATTAAAATGGACATATGTGATTTTGAAAAGAAGAATATAAACTATGTGAATACAAGTATATGTAATATGATATATAACTACGAGTTAAGAGGATATGATATGATCTACACAGGGATAAGTTATGAGACTACATGTGAAATGAAATGAGTATTTATATGTGTGATGAAATGGTTGTCTATATGAACATGTGAATATATGTAGAAGACATAAGAATAAGATATAAGCAATACGACAAGAAATATGAAATGTCATGAGGAGTTGATATAAGCCATGCAAAAAGTAATCTACGTGACTATATGTATATGATATGTGATACAAGTTATGTGACAAGCATAATGATAATGCCCATGTTATGTGATATGAGAGCTAGAGGTATAGTTGGCATGCCAAGAGTTGGGGGTTACATGGGTCATTCGGGACATAGATTTCACATGCCACTCAGTGGATCCTTATACGAGCTGTGGTGACAGCATATGTGCACAACCTCTATGTACTCACATATATTTAGTTCTCACATATGTACATGGGCTAATAAAAGGATAATAATAAATATTATATATGTGATGTCTATTCTTTGTGATATGAAACGTGTTGTTTGGTTAAATGAATCGTATGATAGTTAAGGATGTTAAGTCCAAGTTAGATCCTAAGTCTTTAAAATGTGTACTGGTTGGGCATTATTCACTTAAGAAGCGTTATAAATGCTATCATCCTCATTCTAAATGATTTTTTACCACTATGGATACAACATTTTATGAGCAGGATCCCTATTTCACTAAGGTTGAAATTCAGAGGGAAACATGGAGGGATTTTCAGCCACATCAGGTATCTCCTCCTAATCTTCATTCTCAACCTTTAGAATTGCCACCATTTTTGCCTTTACCTACAGATTTATCACCTGTGACTGCTCCCATTGATTCTCCTGTAATACCTATAACTGATTCAACCACACATACTTTAAACTCCCTTCCTGAAAATATACCTACTCCCATTGAAAGTATTCCAAAAACAATACCACCCAAACAACTTTGTGTCTACATAAGGAAAAGAAAATATATCCCTGAGGCTATTTTACAATATAATTCTTGTCGAGAATTGAATTTGGGTCCAGCCGCCGAAATGGAAGAAGAAATCAGTAAGTCCACTTCTTCTACTCTAGATGACTTCCCTATTGCTATTAGAAAAAGGGTTAGACATTAAACCAAGCATCCTATTGGAAATTTTGATGGTTATAATTCATTGATGCCTTTTTTTCAAGCATTTATAATAACCTTGGATAAAGAATAAGTTCCCACAAGCATAGCTGAAGCTCTAAAGGATCTAAAATGGAGAAGGGTTGTTGAAGAGGGAATTTGTGCACTAGAGAAAATGCTACTTGGACCGTTACAGGCATTCCTCAAGGAAAAAATGTTGTTGGTTGTAAATTGATCTTTGCTATAAAGTATAACTCCAATGGTAGTATCCAATGATACAAAGCTAGACTAGTGGCCAGAGGTTTTACGCAAACATATGGGATAGATTTCACAGAAACTTTTGCACCTATGGCAAAGCTTAACATTGTTCGAATACTCCTAAGTTTGGTTGTAAATTACGATTGGCAAATACACCAACTTGATATAAAAAACACATTCCTTAATGGCATGCTAGAGGAAGAAGTCTACATGAAATTGCCACCTTGCTTAAAGTTTGTTGGAGGTAGCAATAAGGTTTGCAAGCTCAACAAGTCTCTATACAACTTAAAACAATCACCCAGAGCTTGGTTCGAGAGGTTCACTAAATTCATTCTTAAAAACAACTACAAGCAGTCCCTCGCCTATCATACTATTTTCATCAAGGTAACTTCTACAAATAAGAAAGCTATCCTAATTGTGTACGTAGATGACATAATTCTTATTAGAGATGATGAGGAAGAGATTAGCAATTTAAATAAGTTGTTAAATAGGGAATTCGAAACCAAGGACTTGGGAAAACTAAGGTATTTTCTAGGAATGGAGGTGGCAAGATCAAAAGAAGGACTTTTGATCAACCAAAGAAAGTATGTACTTGATTTATTGAAAGAAACTGGTTTTCTTGGTTGTAAGTGGGTGATACACCAATGGAAACAAACTTGAGATTCAATAAAGAAGATGTGTCCTTATTAGACAGTGAGAAATTTCAAAGATTAGTTGGGAAACTAATTTAGTTATCCTTGACAAGACCAGATATAACCTTTCCCGTAAATGTGATAAGTCAACACATGACTAATCCTACTGAAGAATCACAACAGTAAATAGAATTCTCAAGTACTTGAAGAAAACTCCAGGACATCGCTTAATGTTTAAGAAGACAAAAGACAGAACTGTTAAGATTTTTACAGACTCTAGTTGGGCCGAAGATCTCACTGAAAGAAAATCCATTAGTGGCTACTACACTTTTTATTGGGGTAACTTTACAACTTGGAGAAGTAATAAACAATATCTCGTTTCAAGAAGTAGTGCTGAAGCTGAATTTAGAGCACTAGCATTGGGAATATGCGAAGAAATTTACTACTTAAACTACTAAAAGAACTTGACACTAATCAGGAGGATCACTTTAAAGTTTTGTGTGATAATCAATATGTCATTCAGATTGACAAGAACCCAATTCAACATGACCGAACAAAGCATGTTGAGATTGATAGGCATTTTATTGCTGATCAAGTCAACAAAAAGACAACCACCCTTTCATACATTCATTCAGAAGGACAGATTGCAGACATTCTTACTAAGGCTTTGCTAAAGCCTGTTTTCAATAAATTCCTATTCAAGCTGAGATTATACAATGTGTATTCTCCATCTTGAGGGGGAGTGTAGGAATTATAGAAATATACGAGCTATTACCATCCCTTTAGTTAAGAGATTCTGTAAATATTCTATTTTTTTTATAATCCCTAAGTGGATTTTTTGGTATTTGTCCTGAGTTTGTCAATATCAGTAATGGACATTTCGAGAAAAAGGCTAATATGAAAATATGGGTCCAATAGGCCTTCTACTTTCCATATCCATTAATTTCATTTTACTATGCCTTCTCATCGAGTCTAAGCATTTAGAAGAGCTCCCATACCCCTGAAATCTCCTATTACTTGTGGTTGACAGTCTATTTATCTTTTTCAAGGAGAACTTCATGTGTTCATAATTACCATCTTAAGGTGAATGAAAGTAGATCGTTTCACAGAACTTCAGGGTTGCACTTTTAGAGTGTTCTCATTGTTACAGAGTTGCACTTTCATATTTTATTTGTGCATCCTTCATTCATTTTCTTGTGTGGGCATAAATGTAATCTTGAAACAAGAAATTGTGGAACTTTTCATGTGCCACTAATAAATAATTTTCTGCTGCAGTTGTCTTCATTTTAATCTTCTTCCCATTATCCTTTTAATGAGTCTCTTTCTGAGCATCATTTTTTAAAAAAAAGGATAATATTATTAAAGTTATATTAAGAACGCAACCAAAGCTAAAGGCCTCATTAAAAACCACACTAAGCTTAAATGGAGGAAAGAGAATGCCCAAGGTTGAAGATACAAACACGAGCATAGCTCAACATAAAACCCTGAAATGATCACACAATCCGCAAAAACCGAACTAACCAAAACCAGCAACAAAGGCAAGCAGGCCTAGAGCCCTAGCCCTATATCAGCCCCACCTAATTCAGCACCATACCAGCAACCTAGAAACACTGCACCAGAGGCAAAGAAAGCGCCTGTTTGGCAAAGAAATCGGTCATCCAATTACACAATCTGGGAGTATACTTAATGGCAAAATTATCATTCTTGGTGATCAAAACCATAGGACTAAGAAAGTTGGCCCAATCTGAAGGACCAGTAGAAGGCAACTACAAGTACTAGGAGATTTCAGGGGTATGGGAGCTCTTCTAAATGCTTAGACTCAATGAGAAGCCATTAATTTTGTCAAAATTACTAGGAAAGTTGGCAAAATTCTCTTTTTTCCTTTGGCTTAAATGTTTTGTGGCCATTAATTTTGTAATGATATCCAATGTTTGATTACCATTTCTGGTATTAACTGATTTTACTTCCTTTATTCACATGAATCCTTTCCTTTTAGTTATAATGATTTTCTTGTCTGCTTTCCTCCCACCTCTTTTTCTTTATTTTTGTTCAGTATGGCTTTTTTGCTTGGCTGCTCAGCACTTTTGTAGGGCTGCTGCTTTCTTTCCTGAGGTATGGTCTATTTTACACATGGATGAATTAATTACTGCCATTGCATTTTTTTCCTTGGTTCAACTGTTCTCATTTTTGGTTTAATGGTGATTTCTGTGGAATAAAATGTGTGTAGTGATAATAATTTGATTTCTTATTCAAGATTTTTAGATTCAGCTGAATGACTATTATGGTTCCACGTATTCATTTGTAACGTGCTAGAATTGTTATGTAATGTATGATTCTTTTTTTAATCGTGTAAAATTGATTTATTTTATTTTCATCTGCTTCCGTATCCTCTTTCATCTCTAATTCATTTGTCTGGGTAAGGGTTGCTATAGTGTCAATGAGAAATTTAAAACTGCTGCCTGCTGGGTTTAATTTTTTATTTCTCTAGGATCATCGATCATACAAATGCGGGGTTTCTTCTTTTATCCTTTTTATTTTTTAATTCTTTTGTGTTTGCTTGTGTGTTAAAATGAAATACTAAGTTGTTACGTGTCTGTTTTTGAACAACTTTGCCTTGGTTCTTTCAGTCACTGGTACATTAGCCAACCCCCACTTTTGTATTTTTAGTTCATTGTGTGACATGGAGTTAAGAATGCATACTATTTGGGCTCTGTTCGGTTGATACTTTTTACTACCTAGACATGCTTGTTAAGAATGTTCCATTTGTTGTTATCATCCCTTTTTCACTATGCTTATTAACATCTTTTATACTATTGCTGCAATTATTGTTGTAGTGTCAGGTTAGTTTCCTGTCGGTTATTAATATCTGTTTCTTTCTGCAGCAAGTCATCGGTACTTCTTGGATTGTCCTTGACAGTTCCTCTCATGGTAGCTTGTCTCTCTGTTGCAATTCCTATATGGATCCGCAATGGCTACCAATTTCAATTCCACAAGTTCAGTGTACAACTTTTGCCGAAAATCATCGACCTTCTGGGATAAAGGAGGTTTGTTCTGCCCCTTCTATTTGGTTCCTTCTGGCAGCATTTAGTTCTTCTCCTTAATTCAGTCATCAATCATCTTTCAACTTGTCTTGAGGATTTTTTATATAGCTCTGTTATTTTTCAAGTTTTCTGCTTGTAGCTATTTTGGTGCTATTGTTAGGGAAAATATAAAAAAAGCTATAAAGTTTAATGGGATAGAAGTAGAGCAGAAACAAAAACAATGTAAAAAACACCAAATCAGTTGCTGAACACCATAATAAAGGCTAAAATTGATGCAAAATTGAAGGTGTGTTCCAACTTCAATTTAGCATCAATTTCAGCCTTTATTCTGGTGTTCAGCAACTGTTTCGATTTTCTTGCAACCCTCCTTTATTCTGTGGTGTACAGAAGCTTAATCCTGCTTGCAATATGAAGTCATTAAGTGATTGCATGCTCATTATTTGATCACTTAAGTAAAAGTATAATTGTTGAGCGTATAACTAAACTACTATCAGAAAAGGATGCATAATAATATACTTGGTATAGTTTTGAGTTGGAACAAGAATGCTATATTATGGTTTATTATTGCATTATAGTTATATCAGCTCTTTAATAAAAATAGAAATACATATAATTAAATATCTAACATAAAATAGCATGTAATAATAAACACAGTATAGCAGCTTCAACTTAGATTTCTGAATCCGGGCTTCTCAATTGATCCTCTTCAATCTAATTATTGTCAGAAGCTGTTTCGCCCAACCGTTTTCTAAAAATTGCCTCCTATAGCCTTTACTTCCATTTTTTCTGCTATTTTTTTTTTGTCTTTTTAGACGTTTCTGTAAAAAGAAGTGATTGCCTACTCCTTCAGTATTCTGGTTACACATGTTTTTGCTCTCTGGCAGTAATTTGTAGAATTGTATTTTCTTTTCTGTTCTAACATTCATTTCTGTCCTTGTCAAGTGGTGATTCTTACTCTTTGCATAACTTTATTTGCTGGTTCTGTACTGGCACTGGGTGCAATAGTATCTTTTACGCCTCTAGAGGATTAAAAGATACAAGGGATGGACTGATGAGCCGAGTAACTTTACTTCTCCATATGCATCATCTGCTTACATTGGCTGGGCCATGGCATCTGCAGTTGCTTTAGCAGTTACTGGCGTGCTTCCCATCATTTCATGGTTTGCATCGTATCGGTTCTCGCTCTTTTCTGCTATATGTGTCAGTATATTCTCAGATACATTTTCCTTTCTTTTTCATTCTACTTTTGGCTTATCAATTGAAACTGTTTTGTTTGTGTTCCATTTAAGGACTATTTCATCCATTTCTTAGAGGTTATGTCATTTGATCTTACTTTTTGCTGCTGCTATTTTGTTAGCTGTACTTGTCGCATTTAGTGGCGCCTCCTATTTGAAAATTGTGAAGTCTAGGGATGACCAGGTTCCTACAGCTGGTGATTTTCTTGCTGCTTTTTTTCCATTGGTGTGCATTCCAGCACTGCTATCTCTTTGCACTGGATTACTTAAATGGTTCGTAATCTTCCTGGATTTAGCAAATAATGAAAGCTTAAGCCTCAATCTGATGTATAGTTGACGTGATTTTGTTTTTAACTTCTTGTTGACCATTATTTTTCACTATGAAATTCATGCTACAATGCAGGAAAGATGATGGTTGGAAACTTTCTCGAGGTGTATATGTATTTGTTACTATTGGTCTATCCTTTTGCTTTCTGCAATTTCTTCTGTTATTATTGTAATTAAGCCATGGACGGTAAGTGAGGTTTATTTTGATATCCTTGATTTGGCTTACTCTTTTATAGCTATTTCCCTATCTTATCTGTTGTCTTTCTTGAGTCACAAACAGATTGGGGAAGCATTTCTGTTGGTTGATTGCTCTTGCTCTTGGTGTTATCCACCACTGGGCATCAAATAATTTCTATTTAACTAGGACACAAATGTTCTTGGTTTGCCTCCTTGCTTTTCTTTTGGGTTCGGCAGCATTTCTTGTTGGTTGGTTTCAAGGTAAACATAACCAGCTTCCTACCTATTTTACTTTTTGGTGCTTTATCCGTAAAAGATGTAGCTCTGATGCATAACACTACAACTTATACTGTTGGTGTCATTCCATTTCACCTTTACTTTTCAGACAAACCTTTTATTGGAGCATCTGTTGGTTATTTTTCATTTCTGTTTCTGTTTGCTGGGAAGGCTCTAACGGTGAGTTATTTTCAATCATCTTGATAAAAAGTTTATGTTATTCTCTTGCTATTTCATTTTGCTTATGAAGATACTCTTTTTCTTTAGGTTCTTCTCTCACCTCCAATTGTTGTCTACCACGAGTGCTTCCTGTATATGTTTATGATGCTCATGCAGGTTGTGGAAAGAATGTCAGGTTTGTTAAGATAGACTTTACTGTCTGATGGATTTCCAATATATCTACAGTCACATCTGCTTATTTATTACATGTTTTTAGAATTGTTAAATTTAATGATGAATCTAAATGTTTAGTCATACATTGACATGAAATTTTGGCAATTTGCTGCATTTAGTGCCACATTTCTTGTCCTGTATGGGATCGCACTTGCAACTGAAGGCTGGGGTGTTGTAGCTAGCTTTATGCTGGTGCTGCTGTATCTGCTGTATCTGCTGTAACCATTGTTGTAGCCTTTGGTTTTGCTGTTTCTCGTCCATGCTTGACTCTCAAGGTACGAGTCCTTTCTGATAAGTTAACATGCTTGTCACTACATTTGGAGCTAAATTTTTTGGCATGTTGCCTCAAGGAGATGTCAATTTTCTTCTTTAAATTGATTTGCATGCAGCCTTTTATGTCATTTGTTATTACTACCAGATGATGGAAGATGCAGTTCATTTTCTCGGCAAAGATACCGTTGTCCAAGCAATTGCTAGATCTGCTACTAAGGTGTGTGAGCATGTTTCTACAAATAGGTTTCAACTCTTGAATAGATTTTTCCTTCTTTTTGATATCTTGTAAAATTTTATGTCTTGCGCAGTTCTAGGAAGTTGAATATAATTTTCCTTGAATTTGTATCTATTTTCTAAATGATTGTTAAAGTTTCATTTTTTGATTTCATTTTCTTGTTTCTTTATTACTATTCTCTCTCTCTCATTGGCATTAGATGCATAAAACTTCCTTAATATTTCTTTTCTTGTTTTTTCCCCTTGAGAGATTATTTGTTTAATGTTCTTTTGTACCGATTCCCTTCCATTCACTCATTGCTTGTTTTTTCCTTTAAATGACTTGTTGTCATTTTCTTGTTTAATATTTCATTTCCTTTTAATGTCAAAATAGTCTTCTCCGGAAAATCTTATTTGTGATTTTGTTATTTTTTTTCTTTACTCATTATTAAGTTATTGTTATATTTCCACAGAGGTCTGCCAGCTCAGCGGCTCTTTTGGTGGGAGACCCTGCTGCTACATTTGACAAGGGAGGGAATTTTGTGCTTCCTAGAGATGATGTCATGAAATTAAGAGATCGCCTGAGAAATGAGGAACTAGTCACTGGATCGTTCTTCCATAGAATGACATATCGTAGGGGGTTTAGGCATGATGGATCTTCATCAAGTTTATTACCTCTTTCTCTACTCTCAGAAATTTCTGAACTCTAGTGGCATCAACTGTCAGGCCGTTAGCTTCTCAAGAACTGCAGCTGGTTTTAGGAACTATCAATCTAGTCATGACTCACAGATGTTCTATATTGGAATGAGGATACTCAAAACCCGCAGACGTCTTGCTGCTTACAATATTTACCTACATGAATCTGTTGGTGTTACAGATTATGTGAATTCTCGAGAGATATCACGTGAAATGGTTTTAGAGCCTGAACCCAAGGGTTGCACAATAGTGCCTACAACCATACATCCCGGAGAAGAGGCACCATTTGTTGTTTCTGTATTCACAACAGCGTCAGTAATCGTGGAACCTTTGTAGTTATTGGTGGTGGCTTCTCCAGGATGCTCGTCTTTCGGGCTGAGGCATGCTGCCAAAACGATTGGGTGCTTGGGTTGTCCGTGAAACTTTGTGCACCTGTGGGGCAGGTCTGATTTGACCAAATCAAGTGAAAGATGGTAATTCAACAGACTTGTTTTCGGACTTCTTGGGGAGCAGCTTGTCACTGAATTGTTGCTGAATTGTTATGTTGTCACTGAACTTTTTACAAAATAATCATAATTTTTTTAAAAAAATTGTAAAATGATCACTGTGATAGTATCACGAGTAATAGAATCTGTGCTTTTGGGTTTTTATAAAAACTGTAATGGAGTAATTAATCAGTTCCAAATTTGATCATAATTTTTGCCACCTACAAAGAACAAAATACAGACAACAAACCCTATTTGGCCATTTCTCCCCTTTTCTCTTTTCTACAATGGCACCATATACGAAAATAAAGGGGGGGGGGAATTACAGAAAAAGATGAATAAAACTATTATATCATTAATCTTCTCTCCATGCCCAAAAAGCAACAGAATTTGTTTCATTCATTCTTCTGTAAATTTATCAGTCAATCTCTTTCAGAATCAGTCTCCATACTTCCCATGGCCTTCAATCCTCTTGGTTTCTGCATTATAACAAAAGGCAAACAATTGCCATTATCAATCAAAACCCAGAAATAGTCTGTTAAAAAATGCCAAAACTAAAATAATTTATACCTTCTTTGAAGTCTTCTTCTCCCTCACTTGATACCTCTCTTGGCAGAGATCTGATAGCCATGTCCCTGGACTCACCAACTACACAAAAGACCAATCAGCAAAACAAAACAAAAAACGAAGATCTAAATCTCCACAAGAAGGAATCTAAAGGGTAGATTTGAACTCACGAGAATGCTTCTTTGGATCAACTTAGCCCTTTTCTTAGGCCTTTGGGGAAGCTTACATCCCTTCATGGCCATGAAATCTTGCTCTTTTTCTTTGTTAGATAATGTGGTGAACAACCTTGGCCACACAATCTTCTTGTCTTCCTTAACTTGTTGATCCATCAAACCCTTTGTGGTATTGTTATTATCATCCAGCATCAAGGAACCCGATCCCCTTGTTGCATAATACCTATCTTCTTTCTCCGGTGATGCCAATGCCGATCTTGGCTTATTCGTTCCCAAATCCGAATTCCTGTCCACGAAACCCAAACCCCAGATCTATCATTACACTCAAAACTCGTTTACTAGTTCTGGTAATCAATAAACAAAAAAAATGAAGAAATTGTTTTTATCTTACATTTTGTGACGATTGGCAACAAGCGAGGAGCCCATTTTCTTGTTGTTGGGCAAAAGTAAGGACTGTGGTGGCGTCGTGGAGCTGCTGCCGCCGCCGACGCCGTTGCTGGAGTTGACAAAGTGGCGGTGATGCTGTTTTTTGAGTTTGTTGAAACATCTTAGCCTCTTTCTGTTCCCCCATTGCAACAAGAAATCTTTCTCCATTTCCCCTCCTTGCATTTCCACTTCCCTCTTCCTCAAGATCTGCCAAGGAATATACAACTTAACAATGGCTTCTGCAAAAGCATTAAAGCACAAGATTACTGGCTCTCTCCTTGTCCAAAACTTCCGAGTCGAATACTCTCATCTAATACGGCGCTTTTATGTTTTCTTCTCACCAAAAGCACGCACCCGTTTCTCTCTTCTTTTTACGCCCTGTTTTATTATTTTATTTTTTTCTTTGAATTTTTTTTCTTTCTATTATTGGTTATTGCTAATAAGGGAATTACAGCTTAGGGTGGTAAAAAATAAGTCTGTAAACGAATCGAACGCATACGAAAGTAGGTATGTTCATGTTGTTCATTTAATAAATAAATAAACATAAATAAAAAAAAATTGTTCATGTTTGTTCATTAAGAAATATAGTTTGTTCATATTCGTTCATTTAAATGATAAACAAACATAAATGAACGTAAACGAACACAAACGAATATAATAAATTAACATAAACAAACATAAACGAACAACACAAACACAAAAAACAAATTTATTCGAATACAACAAATGAATGTAAAAAAAGTAAACAACAAGAATAACAACTTAAAATTCATTAATATAACTTGTAACTTTAGAGTTAATTTGTTCGAATACGACAAAAACATACATAAATCATAAATAAGTTATATGAACATAATAAAGTCTTAAAGTTAATTTGTTCAACAAAACAATCTTCTTGAAATCCAAACAACTTCAATAATCTTCGTAACACATTCAACTTGCTCTTTGTTTAAACATAAATGAACGACCATAAACGAACATATAATCAAACGTTCACGAACGTAAATGAACGAACAAGTCATTTGTTCGTGTTATTTCGTTTAATTAAATGAATGAAAAATCTTGTTCATGTTCGTTCATTTAATAAATAAATGAACATAAACGAACTTTCCGTCGTACGCTTCATGAACGGTTCGCTGAACGTTTAGTTCATTTACAGACCTAGTCAAACAACATAAAATTAACATTTATTACATAAATTTATGTAGCATTAAAATCATAAGTTTGTAAAAAATGATAAATACATAGGCCAATATAAGTATAATAAGATTATGGTGGATGAAGAATCCATTGAGTGGTCTTAACGATTAAATGATTATATTTAAGTTCATAAAAAGCATATATAATACTAGAAATAATTTTTTAAGTGAAAGGGGTTTTTAAATTTTCAGTCATTGCAACTATGAGTGTTGGGAAATTAACAGCGCATTCAACGTGTAGAATATTCTTTTTTACTGATTTGCCTTCTACCGATATCTAGGTTATTCTTGAGCATGCATGATGTTAATTTTTATTAGGTTAAAATAATTATAAAATAATATATATTTTAAATATTTTTAATCATTTTATTGTAATTGTTGGTGATATTATAAATATTATAATTTTTTGACCTTTTAGGGGTAATTTCAATCGATCAAAGGTAATTATTTTGAATTTAATTTTTAAATTTCAATTTTAATTTTAATTTTAATTTTCGTAACTAAGACAACTGGCAAATTAATTGGTACTGAAAGGGCAGTAGAAGGGTGCTAATCCTTCATTGACTGTAACCGACTCCCGAATCCGACACATTTCTGGTAAAACGCAGATCAAGAAATATGGTGTCCGATCCACCTAAATGTTTTTAAAATGATCGGTGGCGACTTTAACCAATTTCAAGTCGAAGCCTAATTACGGGCCCCCCGAAAGAAGGCCGTGACAGCTTGGTTACTCTGCTGGGGACAGGTAAGTGAGTCAGGCCAGAATTAATTTCGGTTATCTTTTTGCGCAAAAATTATAAGTTTAAATTATAATTTATTTATTCGATTCTAATTATTTATCTTTTATTATTTTTCAAATAAATAGTTGTACTGATGTTTTCTTTCAATGATTTCAGATTTTTGAAAAAATTTCATCTCTGGCTCTATACCCGAGTTCCAAACCCTTTTAAGTGGGCGTGAAAGTGACGTCTTCGTGGGAATTTATTCTCTGTATGGGCCTAGCAAGTAACCTTCGGGATTCATATACCTTATGTCTTCGTGTGAATTTATTCTCCGTATGGGCATAAGAGAATGTATCATCTCGAGTTTAACTTAGTCCACATAAGCATATAATGGGCTTAGGACTAAGGGTCTGGAAAGCCCAAGGGGGCACCAGCAAGGAGAACTGGGGTACCTTTCTTTAGAATCTAAACCGGAAGACTACAGGGAATTAGAGCCTACCCAAAACCTCGTTTCAAACCCTAGGCTATTCTGAGATTATTTCCTGCTTTATTTTCTGTTCAGAGCATGTGAACTAGAAATTTATGTGGTTAAGACTTGTTCAAAATCAACTTACGGGATAGAGATCATGTTCGGGTAAGAATAATAAGCATGTGGGGTAGATATCATGTGGGTAGGACTTTTATTTTCATTATTTTGATTATTATCCTTACCTCACTAACTCTTTTCATTTTTGTTCTCTTTCATTTTATTTGCATCATTTGCATCACTCAAAAGAGATGTTGATCCACTAAAAATGTGTTCATTAGACTTAAATAATTTACATTAATGGACAAAGGGGCTATAATACAAGAGACGAAAAGCTAAGAAGTTCGCTATGGTTAGAAAAGACTCAGAATAGACCGGGTTTACACCAAGCACATCAAAAGTCAACTTTTCCTAAACGGGTTGGCAAAAGTTGCAGGGGCAAGACGAGAAAAATATTACTAACCTGGGGAGTCCCTTCAAAGGCAACAAGAATAAGATGGCAAAGCGGTAGCTGAAACTGGAGGCCATTGTTGACGAATTCAAGAAACAAGCAGATAAACTTTGGATAGTTCCTATCGATGGAGGGCTTCAATGGTGTTTCCATTAGGGAATAGACTCAGAAGAGAGTGAAAACCAGAGATGCAACCATTCAAGACTTCTTGGGACAAGTACAAAAAATAGCTTAGAGAGGCCGAAACGGTTCGACAAGGTATTCAACCGGAGATAAGAGAAGGTGGAAGATGAATCAACCTGTTAGAAGTTTTTCAGGATCTAGAATAATATACCTTTAAAATGTTTTTGTCTCTTAAGAAAAAACACTTTTGTCCCCAATAAGAATTATTCATAATAATAGACACATTTTTGGATCAATGCCTCGAAATTTCATGCATCATGCATTCTTGCATATTTCACATTATGTTTTTCTTTTCTTTTTTCATTACATTCACTAATAAGAGATGTCTCATAAAAGGAACAAACATTGGATACACCGCTCAAAGAAAAGGCAATTAAAAGAGAAGCTTTTTGAAGATTACGTAAAACGTGTTTGTAAAAAGATTCGAAGCGATGAATGAGATACTAGCGTGTGTTGGTAAGATTGAAAAAATTCAAGAGCAACTCGTAAAAACCCAATATGAGATGATAGATCAAGCAAGAAGGTTGTTGGGATTTGCGGAAGCTTGAATCGACAACCGAATCGATTTGCAAAGAGGGGTCAGGACGGTTTTTGTGTTTAGGGAGTAAGGAGATTGAAAGATAGAAAATTACAAAGCGATTTATAGTGGTTCGACTTCTCAACCAAGTCTACATCCACTACCTTAGCTCATTACTAAGGATTTTCTAACAAATTCACTAATTTTTTCTTTCTTTTTAAGGACAAAGAGATAACCTTTACAACTCCCTAGTTTTTTAGGGGATAAACTAGAACCTTTCCCTAGCTTTTACACGGGCTCAGCTAGAACCTTTCTCATTTACAAAGGATAAGAAATGTAAACAAGAAAACCTCTCTAAGGTAGGTGTTTACGAGAATTAAGCTCACAAGAACAAAAATATTTACAAGAGAAAGATGAAATAAGAATGAAAAACTCTTCTCTTGTGTTTGATTGCTTGGATAGTTGTTCTATTCTTTCTTCAAGTGTCATTAGCTTGTATTTATAGCTTGGAATGTGTTTGAAGTCGTATATAGCCGTTGGGGATGTTTTGGAGCTATTTGGGGATGATTTTTCTGCTCAAATAGGCTGCCCATAATAGGGTGTATCGGTACCCCTTTATAGGGTATCAGTACACCTTCATTAAATTCAAATAAACTAGCCGTTACAGCCATGGTGTATGGATGCACTGCAGGGTGTATCGATACACCAGTGTATTGGTACACTCATAGGTGTATCAGTACAATAATTGCATTCGGTGTTTGAGCAGTCATGAGTGTATGGATACACCCTGCAGGGGGTATCGATACACCAGTGTATGGATACACTCATAGGGGTATCGATACACTTTAGCATTGTTGCTCAAATCCGAATTTAATGGACTTTGAATTATTTTTGAAACCTTTTTAAAACGTTGAATAAATTCAATTCAAATCCAAAAACATTTTCCTTAAATTTGTTATATCGAAACATAATTCAACAATCTCCCCCTTTTTGATATAACAAAACATTTGAAAAATTGTTTTTGGAAAAACTCCCCCTTAATAAAATGTTTAATAAAAAAGATATCAATTGCTAACAAAAGGATATCAATTGTTAGAAAGATACCAATTGTTGGAAAATATATGAAAATGTTAAGCTCCCCCTTTTCATTAAGAAATTGAATTTTTCAAACCAAACTTCTCCCCCTTTTTGTTATATAAAAAATAATTCAATCTTTAAAGTTCTAAAATAACATTGGAGAGTAAGTGATAAATTTGACATTTAAAAATCATTTGAAAAATCAAAGCTCCCCCTCAATAAGTGCATTCCAAACAAAATTTAGCTTTAAAAACTTGACACTTAAACAAAATTCAATTTCAACGAAGAATAACAAACATGTTAGTAACACATGAAATTCAATATATCCAAGTCTAAAATACTTTATGCAATACCAATAGTTGAAATTAAGTACATATGCATAAAGTTTTATAAAAATGTTGTGCATTTGAATTTTGTTTTATATCAATTGTTAGAGAGGTATCATTTTCGTTTAAACCACATGCATAAACATTCTAATTTAGGTCAAAAATTTTAAAATATGTAAAATCAAAGTATTTGAAAAATTGATATCAATTGTTAGAGAGATATCATTTGCAATGAGAATCAATTTTGACCAAAAATTTATTATGATGAACAAAATAATTATGAAAAATCATTAAAAAATTTTAAAATGTTCATCATAAACATCTTTTTCAACATA